TATATATATATATATATATATATATATATATATATATATGTATATATATGTATATATATGTATATATATATGTATATATATGTATATATATATATATATATATTTCTTGGGAATACGTCTGGAAAAAGAGGAAATAAAAAAGTTAAATTGCTTACAATTTAATAGTTATAATTTTTATTATTTTGATCTTTAGAAAGTATTCCACGAATGTGTATAATAAACGTCCTGTATAATTCTTGTTAAGCCTGATGGATCGTCTCGATGATTAAAAACTAATTGAATTCTGTGCTCCTTTTCTTTTTTTTTTTGTTTATCTTTTTTAATATAATATACAATCATATCGTTCCCCCCCAATCCTTTATTCTTTTTTATTGCTCTCATTTCCCGATCCCTGCAATTTACACCGGATCGCCTGGAGCGACGATCCCTCGAACGGAACGGATATCACTCGCAGCTCTTTCATCGGCGTAATAACAATAACCATAATCAGACTGTTTCACGATCGTGTGTAAACCGTGGATTACGATTGCAGACGGAGATTACTGCAAGCGCAGCATCGAGACCGCCGGCCTCCAGGTCTATGGAAGCGGATTCTACAACGGCGGCGTTTCGATCACCACCGCGAAAGCTACTTTGCCAGCGATTTTTTCCATCCTGTTCACAATTTTGCTACTTTGTTAAGGATGAAATCTGTGGAACGGTGAAGAGATCAAGAGATCGATATATTTTTTTCTTCTTCTCCGGAGGATATCCGGGCAAGAACGATCGATACTTTTATACAGGAGCAACCAGAAACCAAACAGAACGCCAAAATACTTGTTAGGATCCTTGTTAAATATTGTAAAATATAATAAATAGATCACGCGATTTTTAGGCGAATGTTCCTCGTTCGAAAAGAGATATATTTATATATTACAATTGTAGAGACAATGTAATCGATCATCGGACAAAATGCTTTTTCCATGAAAAGGCAAAAAAATTTGTTCGAAAAAAGAGTAAACGATTTTTTGTGCATCGATAAAGAGTTTCAGAATCATCTCAAATTTTTCTCAAAGCTTGAGAACAAGAAAGAATCAGAGTGCAATTGCTCGTAGAAATGTGAATCAAACGAAATTTCGGCGAAATGTTATAATTGTTATTACTGCAAGTATCCATTATTTAACCGCGATTCATAAGGTGGGAATAGCACGCGTGCAATTAAGCTCACGTGCGAGCATAAATCGTTTCAGCGCGTCGAAAGGGTCGCTCTCGTGTCGCATACCTTGAAAAGCGACACGACCTCTCCTCGTTTAATAAAGGCAAAGAGATTTACATCCTTCGTCGTTAAAACGGTCCCGCTATGCCTTCGAGACAGATACGAGTTGATGCTATTTTTAGCTCTGAAAGCTCGAGCTAACAGCTTGAGCTTGACAACACGTTTGGTTGTAAATACGTAAATTAGTTTATTATACTCGGGTATCAAACACAAATGGAAGTCATTCGAAATGATCGAGAAACACGAGATTGTTGTTGCGTTGTTATATTGTTCGAAAAGAATAATTTCGATAAACTTGGAATATTTTTTTATAGATCCCGTGTCTTCTTTCTTAAATCGTAATAAAATTTTGTAATTCATCGAATCACATTTTTCTCAAATCATCTCGAATGTGATTTCAGAGCGTGAAGAAGGGAGGATATCTCTAAAAGTAATATTAAAATGACAACAATGTTCGTTTGCTATTAGATTCGATAATAAATCTTCGGATACTAGAAGAACCTCCGCTGGATATCGAAATGGAGATCGAATTAACGAAGAAATAAATAAACTCGTTTCCGTAATTACATTTGTAAACTACATTAAAGATAATTCCACTATACTACAATCACTGTCGTGATTGATAAGCTTTTTTTTTTTAACGATCGCGCGATTTATCGCATTACAATTTTCAATGAGTCTAAAAAAAAATTTATATTATTATTATCCGTTTACAGTGTTAGTATGTGCGTTTTACATCGATCGTCGAACGAATCCCTTATGCGAATACGCGGATATCATTTGAATATTTTCTTTTTTTATTTAATAATTTGAAAGGTCGATTTAAAATTATAAGAAGTTTAGAAATTCGATGGAATTTTATTGGTGAAAAATTATGAAAGTATCGACGGTAAGGGTTAAGGCGAATTATTTTTACAACATTCTTAAGAGAGAGAGAGAGAGAGAGTATAAATAATAAGAGAGAATGTAAACACAAAACTATTAAAATAAGCTTTAAATAAATTTTTAGCACCGAGTTATTTACAGATTCATAAGGGATGTTGCAAGCCGAACAAGTTCGAAATATCACGCACGAAGAAAAAAAGAGATATTTTCGATACTTTTTTTTTCCTTTTTTTCTTTTATTGTTCTTCCATTCACAAAGAGATCCTGCTGCCGTCCGGAACCCATTATTCCCGGCTCTCGAGAGGATCGTCGAATAAAAGTCGTTTGACGGCGGGGAACCGAAATTGCTTTACAGGATTGTGTAATTAAGAAGCCGCTCTATAATGTATAATCACTTATCCGACCCATGAAAATTGTAATTCCACGGAGAACTTTATTTAACGAACCTCTATTATTGACGCTTTGTACAGTTTCAAAAAATCACGACAAATTAGCTCGTAAATTTATATAACCTTTCTTCTTTCCAACCTTTTCGCTTCGCAATGGGACAATATTTACAGCGACCAAGTTGCAAGATTTAATTTAATAAGAATTTTTCCAACCACGTAAGAGTTATTATATTCCTTTATTATATTCTAACATCGAGTATTAAACAATCGAGTGTAACACACTTTTCATTGGCGAAACGATGTAAATTATCCGACGCGAGTATTATATAATAATAATTTAAAACCGGCGCGGAGAAATATGTTCATCGGTGACACACATTCAGGGGGCGCAAGAGGTGGCGCTCAGATTATCCGATAAATTATTATAAAATTGATGGGAGAAAAAAAATTTTTTTTTTTTTTCTTCAAGCGATTTTTCACACCGCGCGAATTATCCAATAACTTGTGAAGAAAATTTCACACGGAGATGCAGATGTTTCGGTTTTCAAGAAACTTTCTTTGAAACGCGCGTAGGACGCCAGCTTTCACGACGAGAGCGGCAATAGGAGACGTTATTGTTCTTACAGGAGACAGCTGCTGCTCGGCCATAATTACACACAAAGGTGGTCTGTCCAGAAACTGGTTCACCCACTTGCGTAACGCGAAGATGCGGAAACTTCGAAAGGCACCGATTACGTCATCGAACGTGCCTCGATCTTATCCGCGCGTCCAACCCTTTCGCGATCGACGCGCCACGAATATTATCGATCTTAACATTTCCACGATGACGACCACGACGATGCGTTTCAAAGAGGCTTACGGATAAGTAGGCGTTACGTTGCGTATTGGCTGCCTGTAAGAAGAAATATTTGGCCGAGAGAAATGCGGCAGATTCGGCCAGTTTCTTCGATTTATAGGAATTTAAATAGAAAAAAAGGAGAAAAAAGTTTCGTAATATATTCGAACCCCGTCTGCCCGTCGTTTCGCAAGACTTTTTTTAAAAACCAGTTACAGTTACATACCTTGAAATTAAGTGGAAAAATACACGAGAAATCGGAACCGAAATGACGAAATTCTACGGATTATTTCTATATATAAATTATCCACGAGCGGACGATTCGCTGAAATTCGTTAGATTTCTCCTGTGTGTTGCGTGCCCATACGCAATAGGGAAAATCGGACAAGATTTCTCAAAGAAAGCGATCGAGGATCCACGAGTTTAAGTGTCTTATATAATCCCTATAAAATTTCCTTTTCCGACATTGGCTCGATTTTTACCTTGAATCGTTGATTAACCGTGATCGACGCTCCTATTCTAAAACCTGTGAATCGAAAACCTGTCGGTCGAATTCATCGAAGCCTGTTTCTCTTTCGCGCGGAGCAGAGAAGTCACGCCTCGATTCAGGCGCGGTTTTCGTGGCCTCGAGCCACAGGGTCGAGGGGTCATTTTTCCGTGGATCGAGGGGGCAGCGATCCGGATCCCCTTTCGCTTTCGATTCTGCTGGCCGAAAACTGGTCCGTCCGGTTGCGCAATCGGAAGACAAGGAAGTTTCTTCCGCGAAACGTCTGCACAATGGCTCGACGAATGTGCCTCTCGTCCACTTTCACCGTCGTCCACGCACGCACGCACGCACGCCCTAGAACGCGCACCTTTGAAATCCGGCCGAAAGAAGGCCGTGGAAATTCCGTGATTCCCTTCGTGACGGACATGATTGCTGTGATCCGAACATGCGGGAGGAAAGGAATTTACTTTGAATTTCATTTTTCGATTACTTTTCTTACGACGTTGTGGAATATAAAATCTTAGATTTCGAAATTTAGAATTTTTCTGAACATTTCGATGACGTCTGTGATCAATGAAGATCGAAGGAAAGAAGGAAAATTGTTTAGAAGAAATTTACTTTGATGATTTTTTTCTTATTTTTCTTCTTTGTAGGATATATATATATATAAAATCCGATATGATATGATATCTTAGATGGTCGATTTGAAAACTTGGAATTTTTCCGTAGACATCTCGATGACGGTGATTGATACATCGGAGGGGAGAAATTTTGGATGATTTCACGTTTTTCTTATTCGAACGATACGATAGATTTAGATAGGTCGAAATTTCGAATTTTTACGAAGCGACGACGGATTATTTAAAAAGTTCGACTATTGTGAAAAATATTGTAACGTCTTTCGAGAATATTATCTCGAAGGGAAGGGGTAAAGCCGAGCGTGGAACGGTTCGTCGTAATAGATCGAAAACGTTGGTCTCTTCGTGAGGAATAAATCAAGATGGCATTAAAAAGAGGAAGAAATCGAATCGAAAACGAAATACGATAGTTAATAAAGAAGAGATGGACGAGAAATTTTATTGCAAGGTCTCTCTACGTTTCAAGGCCACGCTTTCGCGCATCTTCGATTTCCGTATAAAATCCAGGCTGGACGGGTGGAAAGTGAGGCTCGTGGCGTGTTCGTAATTGAGATAGCCGAGCGAAAGACGTCACGGAAAATGAAACGGGTGGTCAACGATACTCGAGACTAATATCTGGTTAGATCGTAATGAGAGTAATTACTATTAACGGAGAACAATGCCCCTCTTGCGCAAGTTAAAAGGTAAAACGGAGCACAATGTCATTGGCTTGTGCAACTGACTTAATCCCACAAAACGTTGGCCTTTATTCGATTATTTAAGCGTCTATTTAATTTATAATAATAATAATGATAATTTAATTTGCTTCTTTCTTTTTTTCTTTTTGAATAAATCATTTCTATTATTGAAACTACGGGAAACTACGGGTCTCTCGTGAATGAGATCGCCAATAACGATAAAACTTAGGTCGTAGGCGATGGTTTTTGCACGATTTGAAAAACAAATGTAGAGAAGAAAGACGGAGAAACGAGATTGCTCGGTCGAGCAGCGTTTATGGACACGTGGAATCGTCTGAAGAATGATCGTCGTTCTTTCTTACCGAATCGTCCAATCGTAACCCGAGTTAACGAAACTGTGCGTGTGCGTGTGCGAAAGAGAAAAAGAAAAAGCGATGAAAGCGAGGAAATTATGTATTCGAGAGACACGTGCGGATTTATGAGCCGGAAGCGGCAAGATTCAGCGGTCGGAGGAGGAGGAGAGCGCATCAAAATTCCGCTTTCGCGGCGCAGAAAAATTCGGGTTCGCGTACAAATCCGCGTTGCAAATCTCGATATAGTAGTGGATGGGTAACGAAAAAGGAAACGAACCAGGAATTTGTTCGTTTTATCACGAAAAACGGAAAGAAGAAAAAGAAATCTCGTCTCGTAATAGAGTTTCGTAAACTTGATTTTTAAACACCACGACTCTTTCTTTAAATTGGAATTCCGATACGTGTTTCGAGAGTTCGAGAAGCAACAATTATTTTCATAAAAGAATCTTGAGTCCAACTTTCGATCAGTTTCTTTTTTTTTTTTTTCTCCTTTTCTTATTCAAATCACATCATCCACCGCCGAGATGCCATCTCGCCATCTTGAGTTGAGGCGAAAGAAAAAAGTTGATGAAACTTTTTTTTCGCTTAAATATGTGAAGAAAAAAAAAAACCTTGTATACAATTTATGCAACTCGTTCACTTTCTATTCCCTATGTCCAAATCGTAGACGGGACGTGTACCAGAGAACGGGGCATATTAATTGAACGTTTCCCGGACCGATGTTCATGGGGGACGGTAAACAACGCGACAACCAGCGCAATCGTTGCGCAATGTCCCCGTACTTCCACGTACCGTTGATTCCTGCCTCATAATCGTACGTAAGATTACAAAGGTGTTACGTCATTTCGAGAGAGAGAGAGAGAGAGAGAAAGGACACGAATTCAGCCACGAATCGATCGTGTTAGCAATTACGAATTCCCTTCCTCGTGGAATCGACGTCCTGTCGTTGATTATTTATTTCGTTTTGAGCCAGATACGTCAGAAATGTCACGCTACGGCGTTCCTTCGACACGTAACTCGGCCATAATCGATCCGAACGTGGAAGAAGCTTTGAAATTCTTTCGGGTAAGTTTGAAACTTTATTACAGCCACGATTCTCTGTGATCGTGAATTTTCTCTTCTTTTTATAGAGGTAGGAAGGAAATGTTAATTTAATTTCTTCGACATCCTAATTGCTGTCGTTAAAAATATACACTTTCGTTCCTATTTTCCAATTGAAATTATAATTTCTATTATAATTTTTTGAACGTTGAAAGAAGTAACAAATGTGAAAATATAAAAAAGACATCGTGCTGTAATATAATATTATAAACGATAATTAATAAAATAATAATGCAAGGAAATCTGAAACGATGTCTGTTTAAAATTAAAAATTAATTTTCAATTCTTAAAATTTATCCCGTGGAAAAAAACATATGAAATAGGAACGCAATAATTGGTACAAATGCCGTAAAGGGACGTTTTCATAGAAAAAATCGTACAGGAAATGAATTGGAAGCGAGACGCGGAAACTTTCACGTGTTTCCAATCCCGCATCGCGGAAAATGTGTGGAACGATCGATCGGAACACGTGGAGCCGGTTTTAACGATGCCGCGCGACTGCTATTCAGGCCAACGTTGTCGTTGTCGTCGCGAAAGCATAGACGTATTGATCCGTCTAATTACAAATATTATCGTATGATGGCTATCACAACAATTTTTAATTTATCCTTCGTTCCCTTCTTCGAATGACAATTTTAGTCTCGTCTCCTCTCGCCGACTCGTTCTTTTTCTTTCTTCCTCTTCTTTGTGAAACGCGTACCAAGCATCGACCACAATATCGATTAACGCTTAGCCGGTATAACCAACCTCTCTCGGCCATGCCGCCGAGAACAATAGACCGTGAATAAGTGGCTGTTGCTTGCAGAAGTTAATAACGTCGCGCAACATTAGCGTGCATTTCCCTATCCTGTTTGCTTGCGTGGAAAAGGCGAACGAATCGGTGGGAAATTGTTTCTTGGGTAAATAAATCGAATAGGTGGCCGACAGGTGCAAAAGTACGACAGGTTCTTACAAAAGAGCGTAGAACAAAAGAACTCGAGAAGTTTGGAAAAAAAAATTGTTGGAATTATTAGAAGGGATAATTTTTTTTTCTTTTTTTTTCGATTTTCCATCGTCTCGTGGTTTTATCGAAATATTTTATTCGAAACGACAAAATGTCGATGCGTTCGCAAATATTCGATAAATATCGAAAGGAAGCTGAAGGAGGTGGTGATAAATTTGAGAAATGGAACATTTCGCACAACCCATTAATTTTATACGTTTGGTTCGAATATGGTTCGATTATCGAAAATCAATAGCGATAATTCGAAAATTTCGTAGTAGGTGCAATCTCCCTTCGATTGTAAATCTTACGAGAGGATCGAGACGCGGTCCAATTCGAAACTTGCAAAGTCTACGTGTGGGGAACAGCAGGCGATCGACTTTGTCTCCATAAAATCAGATGTAAGGATTAGTTGGATGGAAAAAGGAGGATACGTCGAACAAAGTGACTGGAATGCTGAGAATAAAGGAGAGTAAGGTTGTTTATCAACGTTGAATCTTGCGAAGGACAGGTAAATCATTAAGACAGTCGCCTCTTGTCCCAGATACTTTGAACCCGGACGAATCAGGCGGCAATTAGGCTATCTTCGAAACGAATTATAAATCGTTTGATAAACCTCGAATAAACTTTATTGCAAATAAGCAAATAGGATGAAAAGTTAAAAAACACTTCTTGAAACAAGAATTAATAATAAGACATAGAAATATAAGAAATAAATTATAGATTCAAAGTTAGATTAATGATTTTTTCTTTTTTTTTTTATTAGGATCATTGGTTAAAAAAACTTGTAATAACATTTAACTCGAACGTTTCTTGACATGGATTGGTTTTGAGTCGCAAGCGCGAAATATCTGGAACGAGAGTCGTGCAAAAGGTAGCGATACGATTATGGCGCGGGCCAATCCGAATCGAAAATACCAGAATTTCTGTTCAATCAGACTTTTGAATTACCTGGCTCGCACGCTATTCCGTGCAAAAACAATGATGCCGATTAATCATTATGGAAACCGGCGCCACTAGTTCCGTGAGGTCGTTAAAGGCATTTACATTAATTATCTCGTTACGTCGCCGCTGACAACCGGATATTTAATGAGGACTATCTTTAGAAACCGCTGTTTCGGTGCATCCGAAAGGTCGTTCGCTTGCAAATTAAAAAGTGAATATTTCACGATGCTCTTTCACTTTTTCACGCGGATCATTCCATATGATCGAAAGCGGCTTCGAATGAATTCTCCAGTATATACGTATCGTGTAACAATACCGCGCAAAAGTAACGCACAGTGAAAATTTTAAATATAGAACAAGTTAGCAAATTATTTTTTCTCGCTTATCGCGTATATTTTCACTCAAGTAATATAGATTCACGTTCGCATCGTTTCCCTAGAATATTTCAGTTTATATAAAAAGCGAATGCTCGAAGCGAGTTTTCGCCCGGTTAATTGCTCCATTAGATCGGATGTCGTTGGTCACGAGATTAAACCGACCGATGCCCGGCCTCCATCGCGTGGCGGGAGAACAAGGGGGAGCCGCTCTCGACGAATTGCTCTTCCAATCATCTCATTACGCGAGGCGTGCTTAGCTCTGCTCGCGTCCAACACCGAGAATATCCACCTTGTTGTTCCATCCATTGAATCTCTTCGAGAGAGACGTCATTCTTGCGTCTGTCCACGAGCGAGCAGGAATTCGAAGAATGCTTGCAATTACTGCGAGAGAACAGATCGCAGTAAGCAACCCCTCGAGATGCAACATATCTTAATCCCTTTGCTCGCTTTCCCTTCGAATAAACGCTCTTTTCAGAGTCTTCGATAATTCAGGATGTTCGAAAGCGTTACACGAGTTGGCAGGAAGTCTCGTCGTCCCTTCCTTCCGTAATTACCAGCATTCAACTTGCTTTTCTCCTTTCTCGAACCGTTTCGAAAGGGTGGTCGAAAAGCGTGGACGTAGGTCGTGAGCTTGGCCATGGTTGGACGACGATTGCCCGGACGGTGTCAATGTCTGTGGACAGGATATCCTCGGTGCTCGAGAGGCTCGAGTGGCCTGGCTCTCTGTCTTCCACGCGGAAAGTGGACCCAGAACGCATACCGCCCCCTTTGGGATCTTGCGACCCCACCTTCTCCACTGTGTGTAGTCGTGGTTGTGTCGGTCGCTAGGGTCGGAGTTCATTGTGCCACAAGTGCATTCCGAGCGGCGGCGAGCAGCCAATTGCTCGTTACAAACGTGAGGCCAGTTGTGGATCGGTCTGCGAAAGGGCCACCGACTCACTTTCTTTCATCGGTTCTTCCATTCCTCTCTTACGATCCAACCTTCCTTCACAAATTTAATCGTTAAACTATGCTATATCTAAGTGAGACTAAGCTCGCTCTGTGAGTTGAAACTTGTGCGACGTGACTCTACTCCTACTCGACAATTCTACCAAATTTTCGTCGTTGTGCTTCGTCAAGTTTAGTTACAGTCATCTTGGATACCGTTTCTCGAGAGAGAGAGGATTTAGAGGACAAATCATGGTGAAAGAGCTCGGTGTTGTGAGAGCTTTTCCAATTAATCCTCTCGCCCGCCCGAGATTTTAATTAACAATCGCATTATTTTTCGGTCGCACGAAGCTCCCACGTGCGATCGATCCAACGTCCGCGCCCGTCCTTTGAGAAACACGGATTACGCAACGCCTGTTTCGAATTATTCGAGTCTCGTTCGAAATCACGTAGCACGGAGTGTGTGTGTGTGTGTGTGTGTGTGTAGAAGGGAGGGCTGTGCTCCCATGCCGCCACGCGTAATTGTGGATTCCTTGGTGGAAAATTAGCTTTGCCGCCGTACACAACAATTATTATTTTCCCATCGAACCGTATATGGAAACCCGTGAGAACGATTTACGGACGCGTTTGATCCACGAAACAAACGAGTACGTACGCAACATCTGCGTAAAATCAAATATTCCCCTCTGGAAATTATTCCGCGTGACAAAAAAGTGTGGCTCGGATGACGATTCGCCCCACGCCACGCCTTCGATACATTTCGCCAGCGTGGATCACGTAACACGCGCGAGAGAAAACGAAGTCGTTCCACGTCGGGCAATTTCGCGACGGGATAAAGGGAACCGCGCATTTGCATTCCGAGTGGTGTACGTGCAACGGGCCAGTACACCTGCGCCTCTTCCCCTCTGCCGTAAGGAAACGAAGGAATGGAAAGTTGATCGATGATGGACACGATCATACGATTATTCCTACGAAACGCGAAAATATTCGACGCGCAAAACTCGCGATGTGAATCGTCTCAGAGCCTTGTCGTCTCAGTCGTCGCTGGAATCGAAAAGTATCTCACGAAAATGTTAAAAGCATAGAAAAATTTGCGCGTATGCATCTCTATGTTTCTCTCGGGGGAGAGGGACATCGTCTCCGTTTACACGAATTAATTAGCTCGTTTCAACATTCCCTGAGAGCCAAGGTTGAGCATACGAGACGAGATAATCGGATAATTAAGATGTTCCGCTGAACGCCGATCTGAAATTCAGATTTGTCACGAGATCGTTCGGCTGGTATCTGGTGTCGGCGCGGTCTCCACGATAAGGTTCGTTCGAGATTTCTTTGACACGGGTATGTATCAAAAGCCGCGTTACGCAAATGAGACGGAAAGAAATTTCTCACGATAGTGACAGCTGCGCGGTACAGGAACGAAAGTATTTCTTCTCGTGATCTTTGTATCGTGTTCACGCGGTCTCGAGGTTTGGTTGGTTGGAAAGAAGAAGAAAAAAAGTGACGCGGAGATTGAATTATAAACCACATGTGGCGTTCGAAACTGCTCGACCGAGAACGAAAGAATATTAGTCGGTGACATTAGACGCGGATGAAAGTAAAGTAAACTCGTCCTCCCTCGTCTCGTGGTCTATGACTGTTATTTTCCATTTCACAGTGAGCTCGTAATCCTAATAATAAATAACCTAGTTCATTCGTTCGTTATTAATTTGGTGAGTTTAATATGTCTTTGGTGAGAAAACATCTTGCAAATGAAATAAATTTTGCCAGACAATTTCTAGTACGTCTTCTAATGTACGTATAAGAAAAAGTTTTCATCGAAGTCTTGTTTATCGGATACATTACTCGTGCCGGCGAGTAAATCAGCCAATTGGTCCAACTTAACATTTCCTGTCGCGCGAAGAACTGTCCTTTGAAAGAGATCGCTCGTCGTCCCTCTTATGTCAAATACGGGCGACGCGATTTCCGGCTGAGCCACAACTGAGTCGTCGCATCATTCCTTCTCATCCACCGCTCTTCGATCATTCTGAAAAATGCAATTTTTCAACCGAATCATCTCGCTTTCTCGCAGGCTGGGTATATCGAGAACGTCTGTCGCGAGTACAATCGGGTCGAAATTAGAAATTACAACGAGAGTTGTTAAACGTTTCGTATCCTTTTCTTCTTTCTCTCTTTTTTAGCCGTCAGAGATATATTGGACGATTGTATCGTCTCGCGTCTCTTGTTACCGGACAGTAATGAGACACTGCGCGTTTAGAGGCTGGCCATTTTGCACCAGCCGATACGTCGATCCGTTTCCGGCGAAAGAATGACACGCGAGACGACACAGGCGTCACATTCGTTCGATCGACGCCAAAGTCTGGCCAGTTCGTTTAGCAACCCATCCTTTTGAAAAGGCTAATTGAACGCTCGCCTTGGTATCTGGATACTTTCACTGCTTGTTGAAGTCGACTTCGATCAACGTAAGTATTCGCGTTGTTTTTTTTTTTTTTACGTAATTTTTCTTTGCAAAATACCACAAAGGGGAATTACAATTTTGTAGCGAAAAATTGAGATGACCGTTTCGAGGATCTGGCAGTTGATATCCTTCCTCGTTGTATCTTTCTCCGTGGCGCTTTCGGCGGACAACGTGTGCCCGAGAATGGAGAAGTGAGTGGGCTGCTCTATTCGAAAAAGTGCTTTCGGCTTTAAATTAGAACATTGAGAAATAGAGAAGACGTGTTTAATCCTTCTGGCGTTTGTGAAAATTATACATGTACGAAATTTACATCCATGCACAGAATTTGTAAAAGTGCGTTTAGTTTACAACAATCTTTGTATTATATTCGCGAGGTTGAACACGTTGGCGAACACGAGCCTTGACAATAACCCAGTGGCGCTAATTTAATACGCGGTCACCCGGTGTTCCTCCCGATAAGGAAACCGCGAGACAAGCCGATACTTAATTGATCAAACATTGCAGCTACACGATCACCTCGATGGAAGCGTACACGGAGCCGGTTATCGTGATTACGTTCACCTGGTGCTTGCAGATTCCACCCAGGTGTCCCAAGACTCGAACGGAGATGAGGCCACGGTATCGAGTGAAGGTGAGGCCGCTAATAATTTACTCTTCCGCTTTCTTTTCCCTCCTTTTCTTTTGCGTGGCCACGTTCCCTCGTTTATAATGAAAATTTATTTATATTTACATTATCGTTTCCTTTGATACCTTTGCCAACATTTACAATTAGGGGGAAAGTGATCGGCGAGCGACGCTCGTGAAATATATTTTTTAATTAAACGCTTCTTGCTTGGTGATCGAACATCGTGATGATCGCTTTGAATTATTTTGAATTATTATTAATGGAAATTTTCATCCGAGAGGAACGTTTTTTTGAACTTTTTTGCTTTCGAGTTTCGCGAAATAAATCTTTTCTCGTTCAAACAGGGGGAGAGAGAAATGATGGAGTTGCAGGGGGGATACTTGCAATAAATCCACCAATGAACGTGTAATGGTCTTCGTTACACGGTGCAATAAAACCATGGTGGCAAGTATTCCTCCCTCTTGCTCCTTCTTCCATTCCTCTGTGATTAAACATTTTCGAAAAACGTGGGCATAAGTTTTGATCGCGTTTACGCATCATTTGAACGTGGAGAAGAAGATCTGGATGTGGTATAAGGGAATATTAAAAAAAAAAATGCACAAAATTGAAATTACCGGTAGAAAATTTTGTGCAATTATGTCAGAACGTAATGAAATTCAGTTTTTCCTCGGTATTTTTCTTTCTTTTTTTTTTTTTTTTCATTTTTTAATTAGAAATATCGTTCTCGATATCGTTACGCAGGAATAAAGTTAATTTAATCATGCCTTTTAACGGCTTCCTGTTCGAATGATTGAAACGATACACCAAAGAACAAAAGTGGAAATTAGAAACCGTTAAACCAGCACGATTGCGTACGGTTTATTATATATCATATTATATATCCAGCGTTATTATATATCGTTTTATAAATATAAAGAGTTGCAGCAAGAAATACGGTTGCACAACGTTTAAACAATTTCTCACCTCTTATCTATTACAGTATAACGTGAAAAAGTTAATTATTGTAGAAAAAAGTTCTCACAACGAGCAATTGTTGGTATCGTAGCAAAGATCTCTGCTACGAGAATGATACCACTTTTCTTGTTTTTACGTCGAAAGTGGCGATTATGTAAAAAAGTAGCAAGTAAATATTAACTCTTCCGATAATTAATGCGCCATTTTTTTTTAACCAGATCATACATTTCGCTGTGTATTTTAACTTTGTTCGTTCCGCCGATATGGATCCCTTTATTCCTTTCTTCTTTGTTTTATTGGCATTTTTCTTCTTTTCTTAACGATATAGTAATATTCAAATATCAATTAATTATATCCAAGTAAATTTAATATCATCTGAAAGCGTATAATTTTATTAGAAAATAGAATGGTGTACAAATATTTATTAAATTTTATTTGTATAACACGATATACACGTGTCTACGTTTAAGATATTAAAGAGTTTGATCATAGAAAGTAAATCACAAGTTGTTAACTGGAACGATCGCGAATAATTTTGCAACGCGCGACACGCGATCGTAGCGGAATTTCGATAAAAAGATTCAGATCCACGGAGTTTTTTTTAAATTACGCGCCATTCTACAATCAATCCGTACCGCTTACTAATCGAGTATAATTACCACATATCGATCAATTAATTGGCATGAGTTACGACAAATCAATTAAACCAAAATCCACAATGTTTCCTTTAATTTAAAAATCAGAGATTGAAACCGTGATTGCGGTATAATTTTATTTCGTAATTTCATTTAATCCTGCTATACTCTATCACATATCGGCCAATTAATTGCTACGATAAATTAATTAAACCAAGCTCTATATTTCCTGTTTACATATATTTCCTATATTTGTCAAAAAAATTCAAGATCGAGAATAGCAAGAGTCTATCTTGGATATAATTTTAATTTATATAATTCTATATAATTCCGCAACGAAAAGACACCAAAGATGTGTGTATGTGATTATCAATTTTCTTTAAATCGCCCGCCATACGATAATTACCACGTATCGATCGTTAATTACAACCGAGAAGCATACAAATCGATCAGATCTACACGATATTTCCTATTTATCCGAATACTCTTGATTCCGTTGCAGATATTTCGGTAAGCCAGTTTAAATAGCCTCGATCTTGCGTAATAAGTCCGCGATCACTAGCGGAAGAAAGCGAGCGTGTTCGATGCAAATGTGGCCGAGCCGTGGAAAAAAAGGCCGTCCCCCCCGTTTCTTCCGCCGCAGATGTGCCGCGGAATGAATTCCGTAACTCTTTCGTAAGATTGTCGCGGATTTTCGACGCGAAATAATCGCGAAACGGTGTACCCTTGCGCGATCGAAACTTTCTCCAAGGAAAATCGAGGATAAAAGGGGGTAGATCGAATCGATACATCGTCTCTCGAGGTTTGCCGCTTGTAAACGGTGTTGGTTTAACGAGATCGAGATAACGGATTGTCGGAAGAGAAAATTTACTCTCGGTCTAAATTTCAATGGTTTCGCAACGGAGGCAAGACGCGCGGCTGTTCTAATATGGAAAATGGATAATTGTATTTGAAATTGTTACGTTACGATTGAAATTTTCGTCGTTTCTTTTTCGTACTACATTCTATTGATAAAGTATATATAAGGCTATACTTCTAAGCCTACTTAAAAGAACAGGTTGAAGAATAAATTTAAATTTATTTTGCCATTTTCTTCCTACCTTTTATCGCGCTTGATTCTACTTCCATATCAAACACTTTGGATAAAACAATCTTGAAGAATAAATTTAAATTAATCTTCATCTAAGAAAATAATTATTACTTTTTATTATTCGATTGAAATCTATGAGCCAAGAAAAAAATCTGGATATATATATATATATATATAATGTACCAACAGGTTTACGTTTGGAAAACGTAATGGAACGTGCACACGATACGTGTGTGTGTGTGTGTGTGTTTCACCGACAATGAGAACGTATCCTTGTGAGAAAAAGATGAAGCATCGAACGCCACGCCGTATATATATCGCACGTTGCCCAAGTCTCTCACGGTTGGAGCGTTTAATATTTATTGCGTTATAGGAACATCACACCGTGTTTTGCTCCGTATTACGCGGAGAATTACATAAAGGAAGAGGGGAAAGGGACTTTCGAACGGCGTAGGTTCGTTCGTAAGAAAAATGTATTTTTCGAAGATCAGAAAAATCGAGAAACCAGCGATTCAATCCAGTGATTTCGTCACTGGCTATTAACTGTCGAAGATTGTAGCCTGTTCGTTTGAAATCCAGTCCAGACTTTGGACGGTGTGATTGATAATGTAATAATCGTGAAAAAAAAGGGTTGAATCGACTGTTATTATATATAAAGTCAAAGAAGGAAAAGAGAAGGTGGGAATATTTAGGGATGTTGAGTTGAACGTTCCGTCTGAGGAGTGGAATGGGAGCTTTTGCCATTGCGAACATGATCGATGTCCACGATATTGAGAAATTTGTAAGAACGCTAGTCGAAATGTGAAAAACAGATTTACATTGATCACTTGGATTTTGATGATTATCTCTTGATAAGCTGGATACACATTGCGCTTTCTGAAAGGAAGAATAATAATTAAACGATGAACGAAGAGATACGAAAGGAAGAACAAAGGGAGCACTTAGTATCGAAACACGCGGATATTAATCAGAATTATGCCAGTTAGGTAACCTCGAAGATAACAGTAATGGGAAGCATTATTGGCAAGACAATGCGAGCAGGCCTTGAACGCGTTTCAAAATGGAGCTACTACTGGTTTGTGAACGCGTAAATCGCGAGACGAACGGTGGAGCAGCGACTCGAACGACAGTTTCTTCGAGATGACTGAGTCTGTGTCCTAGAAAAATGAAATGGATCGGAGGAATCAGACACGTGAAAACGAGAAGAAAGAAACAAGAGATAGGATTACGTTTGGAAAACGTAATGGAACGTGCACACGATACGTGTGTGTGTGTGTGTGTGTTTCACCGACAATGAGAACGTATCCTTGTGAGAAAAAGATGAAGCATCGAACGCCACGCCGTATATATATCGCACGTTGCCCAAGTCTCTCACGGTTGGAGCGTTTAATATTTATTGCGTTATAGGAACATCACACCGTGTTTTGCTCCGTATTACGCGGAGAATTACATAAAGGAAGAGGGGAAAGGGACTTTCGAACGGCGTAGGTTCGTTCGTAAGAAAAATGTATTTTTCGAAGATCAGAAAAATCGAGAAACCAGCGATTCAATCCAGTGATTTCGTCACTGGCTATTAACTGTCGAAGATTGTAGCCTGTTCGTTTGAAATCCAGTCCAGACTTTGGACGGTGTGATTGATAATGTAATAATCGTGAAAAAAAAGGGTTGAATCGACTGTTATTATATATAAAGTCAAAGAAGGAAAAGAGAAGGTGGGAATATTTAGGGATGTTGAGTTGAACGTTCCGTCTGAGGAGTGGAATGGGAGCTTTTGCCATTGCGAACATGATCGATGTCCACGATATTGAGAAATTTGTAAGAACGCTAGTCGAAATGTGAAAAACAGATTTACATTGATCACTTGGATTTTGATGATTATCTCTTGATAAGCTGGATACACATTGCGCTTTCTGAAAGGAAGAATAATAATTAAACGATGAACGAAGAGATACGAAAGGAAGAACAAAGGGAGCACTTAGTATCGAAACACGCGGATATTAATCAGAATTATGCCAGTTAGGTAACCTCGAAGATAACAGTAATGGGAAGCATTATTGGCAAGACAATGCGAGCAGGCCTTGAACGCGTTTCAAAATGGAGCTACTACTGGTTTGTGAACGCGTAAATCGCGAGACGAACGGTGGAGCAGCGACTCGAACGACAGTTTCTTCGAGATGACTGAGTCTGTGTCCTAGAAAAATGAAATGGATCGGAGGAATCAGACACGTGAAAACGAGAAGAAAGAAACAAGAGATAGGATCGAGATCAAGGCACGAAAATTTCAATATCATCGAGGTATTACAAGGATTTAAAATTCTTTTTTTTTTTTTTAAATTTATTGCACGCAAATTAAAAATACTATGTGAATGTTACCCTGTGATTGGAATAAGATCTTTTGGACGAAATTTTGCACGAATACATTGCGCAAATTATTTTAATAATACCGCCATTTGCAAACCTCTAGTTTGCAAGAAAACGGATACGAAGCTAACAATCGACATCTCGAGGCCGTTCGATGTTTTCTACGAGTAAAAAGCAAGGAAAGAACGAGATACCGTTAATTGCACAACTTTTCGAGTATTACGTGGTCACAAACTTATAGTCATTAAATCGAATTTTCACCAAAAAGCATCATCAACAAAATGGTCACGAGCCGATTATTTGGTCAGACTTTGAGAGGAGGAAACGTGTTACGTAAAGTGGCCACCCGTGCCACTTTTCGTTGTGACTAGCTACATCGTAAATATTGTCTCAATTACCAGTGTCATTATTATTAATCGTGTTAATCTTATCTTGTTTTAATTTTTTTTTTTTTTCATCGATCGAATCTGTCAATCGTTGCGCAATACTGTCAAAATATTTTACATAAGTGAAGTCCGGTACGAAAGAGAAAATGTGATTAAGAGTCAAGATCGTTTAACTCGGTAACTTAATAATTTATGTAATTCTTATTTTACCAGTGGAATGTTTGGAATGAATTTTTCATTGAGAATTATTTCATCATAAAATGTGTAGAATGTGTATCATAAAAAAAATTTGCACTTTTAATTAGAGAGATTTGCTCTGTGGTTACGATCTTCGACTTTTAAATCTTCAGATTCTGAATTTAAATCCAATCGGATTTCCAATTTTTATTTTTTATCCCGAATTTTTATTTATAATTTACTACGTGAAAACGAAAATCTCTTCCCGCATCGAATATTATCGTGATAGACGATAATAATTCAAAAGGGGTTTTAAATTATTTCGTGGATAATAATACGATTCTGTTTGAATTTAATCGCGTGAGAAGCATGAATAAAAAGGAACGAAATTATGCTCGAATAAAATAAAATTCTAATCTGTTAAATTCTAATTTCTTAACGTTTTAGTTTTCTTCTCAAAAAAAAAAGCGAGAGAGTGAGAGAGAGAAAAAGATAATTCGATTCTTAGGAAAAGAATTTCCTCCCTTAGTCAAGAATTAATTGAAAATAACTTTTCTCTTCTTCGGAATTATTCTGATTCGCAGTTACAAAGAAATTTCGAACCGTCCAACACCTCTGTAAAGATTTTTCCGACTAGTTTCGCGAAAAAAAAAAAGATACGAATTGGAGGTAAAACAACACGCGATGTATCGCGGTTGTATATAAAATAAACCTTTCAAGAAATACGGAAATCGTGGAACAAGGATTACGTGCATAGACTACATGCACGAGATCAATCCGCACGAATGATTTATGAAAACGAAATAGATATATTTTCCGATTCAAGGGATCAGCGGATTAAAATCCGGTACACGCTATTGGAACGCTGATCCCGCATACGTGCAACGAACTTTGATCGATGTCGAAATAGATTCATCGGAATCGAGAAACCACGCCGTTAATTGACACATTAACGACCCGTTCCCCGATAGAATTTCAAATTAGACATTTTTCCACTTAATTCAACGCCACTTCGTCGTCCCAAAATATCTCTCTGGCTTTATTAAAGTTTGTCAAAACTTGTTTCCAATAGAAGATAATGACTCGGAGAGAAACGATATTCTTTTTTTCATCCATCTGAATGAAAAATGAGACGCTAGAGAGAGAGAGAGAGTTAGGGATTTTTTCGTTGTCCCCAATTCGAGGTTCGTTTCAAATTATTCTAACTCGATTCTTCCTACGTCTGTTTTAATGGGAATCGCATTATGTTATTGAATTAATCCGCCACGAATTGCATAACGAATCGTGGAGAAAGACAGATATTAATTGCGATATTGTGTCGGTAGAAATGGCGATGGCGTCATTCGTGAAAAAACATTAATCGAGTTTATCGCGCATAACGATCTGCGCATAATGCCATTCAAATCGCGAATCGCGGAAATTTGTTTGTGGAAGAAGATATGCAATAAGGATGAAAGGACGAAGGAGATGATACGCAAGAAACATATCGAATCGACCGACATATCGAACCTCTCGTCCATTGTTTCGTTAATATCTCGACGTAAAGTGTTTCTTCATCTTCCAACGAACGTCTTGATTGAAAGTTACATTGACATTTCAAACTCTACGATGAGGTTCTCTCAAATCAATTGTACTTAATGCTTGCATGGTCGTCGGAAATTAATTTCGTCTCATTCATTTCCTTAATATTGGATTGCAGCTCTTTTATATACGAAATAAATAAATAAATAAATAAGGAGAAGGAGAAATGAAGCTAACGTTACTAATGAATTTGCATGTAAAACGATCGTTCACATCCAACAATGGAGGCCAAGTAAGAAACAGGAAGGAGAGGCAAAGAAACGAGACGTGTAATTTATAGAGGTGAACTTTGATTTTCTCGCGCGTATCCATTTACGATGGATTACGAACAGAAAACCGTTGCAAGCTCGCGTTTACCATTCCCTTCCTCTCGCTTTCGTTCTCTTAATTTTTTCCTTTTTCCTTTTTCTTTTCTTTCTTTTTTTTTTCTTTTTTTTTTTCTTCTCTCTCTATTACGATTGGGATCTCAGAAAAATGGGATCTTTTCCAAGAGTCTAGCAGCCTGGTTGCCAGAAGAGTTTCATTCGATGGCCTAGTCGGCCTGATTTTTGTTTCTTATTAGCTTTTCCATTGGCAGTGTGCAGCGTGAAGACGTTTATTGAATCTACTGTTCCATTACGCCATTCGGATAAATTGCTTATTTAACTGGACTAATAAAGAGAAAAGTAAATAATTTTGCAACTATCGTTTGCAGACGGAGTTGAAGACCAGGATTGTAAACGAGTGTTGCGAAGGCTACAAAATGATGTCATCCAATGATGAAGAGAGTAGTATCGAGTGCGTTCCTTTTTGCGAAGAATGTCTATCAGGCGTCTGCGTGTCGCCAAATCAATGCCTCTGTTCCCCTGGTTATCAGGGTGATAATTGTAAATCTGGTGAGTACCGAGTGTTAGAATTTTTATCGCCACGACTGTATTAATTTTGTACCTATATTGTATAAAGATTTTATTTACAAATCATCTTTCTTTTTTACTAATATTTGTTTAGAAATCTCTGTCCTTAAATTTTTGTATTCGGTAAAATAGAAAAAAATTTGTTCACATTCAACGAAACACCACAACGGATACGTTTCACGCTCGATGAAACAAGCCGACCTTCCGTGCGAATTGTGTGCGAATAATTTTCACCCACCGTTCGATTTCTGAAATCGATATTCCACCGCGTTTTCCCGCTCTCTTTCCCGCTTTAACATCGCGTTCGTGTCGGGTATCAGTGTTTCTCGAGAAAACAGAAAAGTAACGATCAGGTCGTAATTGCGCCACTATTATCGTGTAAAGGGGGGAAAAGAATGAGAAAAATACAAGCTTAATGGTTCTAATGGGTAATAATGGTACGATTTATAAAGCAATACGTTCTATTTTATCCGCAGTATGTCCACGAGGCGCATGGGGCATCCAGTGCAAGGAGAAATGCAACTGCACCGAGGACGTACCTTGCAATCCCGTAAGTGGACGCTGCATCTGTCCGCCAGGATTGCGTGGACAAATGTAAGTTTTTCATCTGTAAACACATCGTATCTCTCTCTTTCTATCTCTCTTTGAGACAATCTGAGATCTGGGTTAAAAGAACGATGTTGTTTTAATTAGACGACAATGCTTCTCGATAATTGCAATTACCGCAATTGTTCCAATTATTATCGCGTTGTGGCAAATGGCCAATCATTTACACGATTAATAAGAATCGGGATGATTCTTAAAGAAATACAACCATTCTTGTGATTAAGATGTAATTGGAATAACTTGAGATATAGGAGAATCCGAAAATATGGGAAAAGTATCTTGCGATCGATAAAAAGAAATCGAGAACCCAAAATGCGACACTAGCGCCATGTAACCATTAACTACTAATATCCGATACATTCATTTATTCTTCTATTATTTATTACTTTGTTACTTCTCAAATGAAATAATTAACAAATTATCCTCCTCCAACCAATAGTTTGATACATTACAGTAAACATTTGAAAACAAAAAATTTCGAATGGAAAGTTGAGAATAATGTACACTACATATGGCGCATAAGTATCCACGCGTCGTGAAACGTGTTGAAAAAAAGAAAGTTGCTGGTTAGTTCGTTCAACAAGTTCCATTGATTTCCACGCGTCATATTTACATATTTCTCAAAATTGCATACACCTGATCCAACCTGTTGATCGAAACTCGTCTAATAAGTGCACCGATAATGCTATACGCTGCGACAGACACGCGTTTCCCTCGCGTGACACGCGATATAATAATAATTCCCACTCTCAGGTGCAACGAGTCGTGTCCTGGCGATCATTGGGGGCCGGGATGCGCGTTTCCATGCAACTGCAAGGATTCGAGGAACGAGTGTGATCGAGAAACGGGTCGATGCATCGACAAGATTCTCGTGGAAAACACGAGCCATCCTCGAATCAGGGACGACGAGGGAAACAGCGTGAACGCGAACTTGACGGTGAATTTCCAACTGGACTCGACGGAGACATCGCGGTTTGCGGATACCACGACGGAAGGTAAAAAAAAAAAGAAAAGAAAAGAAGAAAAAAAAAGAAAAAGAAAGATACGCGTAAAGGCGTGATATTTATTCGCGTGATGCAACTGTTGGTCGAAAGTCGTGCGTCTGAATGCATAATGCAAACGTCCATTCGTTGGAATGGAAAGATGCCGAAAGAGGTACGTGTAATTTATGCAATGATATTTTTATCGTTTGATGATAATTGTTGAAAGATGGTCGCGAGACAGTCGCCACGACGGATAATCCTGGTAAAGCAAGTACGGGCGTCTCGAGCACGGATCAGAGGAGAATTAGGACGCAGACCGGCGAGGATGGAAACTCGAGCACCGGCAAGCCTGTCATCGTTTGGGTTTCCATTCCGGAACGGAGAAGGAACTTGGACAAAGGCCGGGGGGAATTCGCGGTGAAGAATCCGTTCGCGAGGCACATGGACGACAATTTGCAAGACATAGGTTCATCCAAGAACGATTATGTCAAAAATATTCACAAAGGTATTCACAAAGGATTAAGTTAAAAATTCCAAGTTTAAAATTTTATATCTCATCCTCAAAAAAAGGAAAAAACTGTTGAACGAAACAGTTGCTTAATTTCTTTCAAAACTCGATTATAAAACGTTCGAGCAGACGTTCAATCGACTCCAATTCCCCTGGACATCGCCCTGATCGTGGTAGCCTCGATCGTATCGTTGGGTCTGACCTCGGTAGCGGTGGTCATGGTTCTTCACATGCGTTCCAAGCTTCTCGAAGCGGCCAGGATGTCGATCTACGAGGAAGCGAGGGCAAAGAGCGAAGGAAATTCGAACGCGACTAAGATCTCGTCGATAGTAAACGGCACTCTTCCTCGTGAGTATATGCAAGATGCCTCGCGAAATCCTCCTTTCTCGCCTGAGTGAAATCTGCCTGTCCTTGACCTCAATTTCACGTACACGTAATACCATACCTCGATGACCATCTTGAATCGAAGACGAGTTGAGTCCAAGCGTGGATATTTTTCGCGGAAAATTAGAACGCATTTTCACTTTTTCTCGACAAGTGCCATTCCCGATCCTATGATTTGCGGTAGTATGGCGATAATTACGTTTCGAGTTTTTCGAGAAGAAAAAAGAAAAAAATCGTAACAATTTTTAGAAACTCCAATCCGTTTGGTACCTCTGTTCGCTTCCACTCCGGAGACTAGAACGATGCCAATAGATAACGATCCTTCGAGTAATTATGCTAATGGAGCAGCCACGATTGGTCTCAGATTATCTGGTAATTTGCATGGTAAGTGCACGTGTTCGTATTTTTGAAATCAATCATTTTTATACACTTTTTTTTCTTTCTTTTTAATGATCAATTTTCACACCTATGATTTTATTTTTTTTTTTCCAGGTTTCTTTCAGGAGGATCATTACGACCGGCCACCAGCAACAAGGATACACTTGCAAAGCGAATTCGATGCTAATACGGAACACGTCTACGACGAAATTCCCTTGCAATCGAGCCCTTTGAGCTCCCGTAGAAACGTTTGATCGAATAGCAACGTCCAACAAATAAGCTAGACTCCGTACAAAGGAAGACTCAACGCGTCTAGCTAATGGTCATATTTCGATCGAGAATTTTTTAATATATCGATGTCGAGGGATTGAAAAAATTAAAACAGAATGGTTTTAATTAAATTACTGTTCTAGTTAAAATTAGAAAAAACGCGAGTTTATCAACTCATGGCCGTCGATTAACAAAAGAAGAAGAAAAAAATACGAACGAACTCGATTAACGAAGATCTCTGAAATATCTCTCCGGAGCAAGACCATAAAAACTGTGTCGTATCAGCGCGTGCCATTGTTCAAGAGTCACGCTCGATTTCAGAGGCGGATGTGAACGAGCCAGCTCGTCTATGAGCCGAGGAAAAATCTAACTGGACTGGTTTCCGACCTTACGCATGCTCGTCAAGTGTGCAAGGCTGAACGTGACTACAATCAGTCCTCGAGCAGGCAGAAAAGAACCACCATTCCCAACACCGATTAAATCATTCGCAACGGGGCGTGTATTTTTCCTCGAAAACTTCCACGTCAAACGGCGACTATCCAATCTTCTGAACTCACGTTTACGTCAACCACGAGAAATATCGTAGCTTGGACAAAGTGTTTGAGCGACGTATTTATAACAATTTAGTTGGAAATTTAGCCGAGAGAGCGAATATATTGAATTTCAACGTTGATCTAAATCTAGAGTTTAGTTTCGTTTTTTCGAGCTCGTATTCGAATTTTCGTGTATACGAAGATATACGAAATTATGTAATTTCTCGTTTCGTGGAAAGATACGAGTTCGTTTTGAGAGAAGCGAAAGCAATTTTTGAAAGTTTTATTTTCAAATGTATTTTCGCACTTTGAAACAGCGTGTCGATATGTAAATATGGATAATAATTGAGGATAAATTATTATAGACAGGCTAATCGTAGAAATAGATTCGTTCCAACGATAGTTTTAAACCTTTTAACCGAGAAAGAGGAGTTGACTCGAATATGTAATATGTTGTATAATTTTTTTTACGAAAAATAGGTCGTTCCATTTTTGTAACCTTTGATTCTTTGATTAAAAGAAAAATTGATTAAAAAAAAAAAATAGTTCGGTTAACAGGTAAAACCAAAGCCAAAGATTTCGAGTTTGAGACACCAAAGAGACGCGTAGCTTTAAGATTCACAATGTTTTTACCAACACTTCGATTTATTATTTACGTCTTTATTTATAAATTGACATCACTTGTAATAATAGATTCATTACGAATTTGTGTCATGCGTTTTAACGTTCGAGGGGGGGGAGTGAGAAAAGAAGAGAAAAGAGAAAAATTCAAATGGATAAGACGTAATTAAAATTTTGCGCAATTGAAATGTTTATATCAGTTCTATCTATTTCTGCCGAGCTTTGCTCCTCCACGATAAACAATAACAATAATCGCTGCATTATTCCGTATATATATATATAAACCGTCCTATTTTCGACGATTTTTGTTAAAACTTGCCGGAATTTTTCGAATTGCGTTATCGAATCGCGAACGAGTCAAAACGACCAGTTTTTATCGTACTTTAAAAATAGGACAGAGAAATCGTGCCATCCCGCTTGCTCGTTTTATCTCGTCCGTGCATTACGCTGCATCCTCTGTGGAGCAACGGGTATCGATGAATTACATAAACCGGTAATATACGCGATACGTTCTCGCGATTGTTCGGCTAAAACTATTACTAATTATAAGAAAGTTCCGTTAAATTAAAGTCTTTTCTCTTTTTTCGCCGATCGATCTTGATAAAAACTTTCGTTTGCTATGCGAACGAAAGAGTAATCGAAGGAAACGAATATGTATCAATTTCTACGTAGTATTAATTGAATGAAATGAAAGTCCGGAAATGTTATCGCGCGTGTTTGAACGCAATAAAAAAAAATTGGGAGGAGTTATCGAGTTGATACGCGATTGGAATTTAATTCCATTATCTTTTCTCGAGAATCTGAACGAGACGGGGAAGGAGGGTACAGAGTGCAAAATTCTCCGAACGCTCGTGTGTTACGCTTCGTGTTAATAATCGCTCGTATGGAAGCAGCTTCTATGTAATCGAGAGAGGAAAAAAAAAAAAAAAAAAAAAGGACGGTGACCCGCCGCGGTTAATGTTATCGGATGAGAGAAAGATGTAATCCTGCGCTCATGGAAAATAAGAAACCAGTAAATCATCGATACTCGTGCGTTCAACATGGCGAAAATGTTGTTTCGAAACGTTGTTGTCTGCTGTTATATCATTTCGGCGCTGTTGGTATCCGACACCTTGGCGATCGAAGGTGTGAAAGGTGGCCGTCACCGCGTTCAATATGATCGATCGCAGCTAGCCGTGAACAGCACGACGATGCAAGGACTTTGCTACAAGAGAATACGGTGAGTTAAAAAAGTCGAGATTTTCGTTTCTTCCAAATGCGAGACGTCTTTTTTTTTCTTTTTTTTCCTTTTTGCCTCTCAGGTATCAAGATGCAGTCGAGTTGAACGCCACAGGTCAGTTCCCTCACAACACCCTCCCGATGACTTCTCAGGAAGGCACGGTAAATACTCTCGCTTTTACATATATATATATCGTACGATAAGAAAACAATTTTTCATCCAATCCTTCTCTCTTTTTCCTCTTCTTTCTTCTCCCCGCAGAAAGGCGGATGGATAACGATTTTGGATTGTTGCGACGGGTACAAGCGGAACCCTGGCTCCGGCGCCTGCGACCCGATCTGCAGCGAGGGGTGCGTGGGCGGAAAGTGCACGGGGCCGAACGTGTGCAGCTGTTCGCCAGGATGGGTCGCGGCGAGCGGCGTTTGCGTGCCCTTCTGCGAGCAACCCTGCCAGAAGGACGCCTACTGCTTCTCGCCCAACGTGTGCGCTTGCAAATTGGGCTACGAGGAGGTGGACGGGGAGTGCAAGCCGATCTGTCCTCACGGATGCGTGAACGGCGAATGCGTGGCGCCCCACGTGTGCAAATGCGGGCCCGGATACCAGCTCGAGCCCGGGATGGAGGGGGCCAACTCGAAATGCGTGCCGGTCTGCGAGAACGGTTGCCGTAACGGGGAGTGCACCGCGCCCGGATCGTGCACTTGCCACGAAGGGTAAATCGATCGACGCTATATCCAATCCCGGTCGAGAATGAATCCAAATCAATTTTCTCTTCTCACGACCGCTCGTGCTCGTTCTTTCTTTCTTTCTTTCTTTTTCTCTTTCCAGATTCGTCAATCCTCGAAACGATCCCGAATACTGTATTCCCGACTGTCCCGCCGGTTGCGCCAACGGCAAATGCATCGCCCCGGGCGTCTGTCAATGCGAGCCGAATCACGTTCTCAACGGGAGCAACGCGTGCGTGCCCGACTGTCCTCGGGGTTGCGCGAACGGCGAGTGCGTCTCGCCAGGCGTGTGCAAGTGCCAGCCAGGCTTCACCTCGACTCCTCCGCCAACGACAAATGCGTGCCGACTGCCTCGAGGTTGCGCCAACGGCGAGTGCGTCTCGCCAGGCGTGTGCAAGTGCCAGCCAGGCTTCACCCTCGACTCCTCCGCCAACGACAAATGCGTGCCCGACTGTCCTCGAGGTTGCGTGAACGGTGATTGCGTGGCGCCCGGTGCCTGCGCCTGCAAGCCGGGATTCGCGGTCGAGGCGAGCAGCAAAAAGTGCGTGCCAACTTGTTCCCGAGGCTGCGTGAACGGGAGATGCGTCGCGCCGGACGTGTGCGATTGCGATCCGGGCTACGCGCTCGACGGCGGGGACAATTGCGCGCCGGACTGTCCCCAAGGTTGCACGAACGGCGAATGCGTGGCGCCGGGCGTGTGCGAGTGCAATATCGGGTACACGCGCGACGCCAACGGCAGATGCTCCGCCATCCCGTCCGAGTCGAAGGTGACCGATTGCCGATTGGACTGCGGGCCGAACGCGCACTGCGTCGGCCCGAAACAGTGCACCTGCGACTTGGGATTCAAGTTGGATCCGGACACGAGGAAGTGCGTCCCGTTCTCGAGCTCGTTCCAATGCAGGAACGGATGCGGGAGCCGGGGCCTCTGCGTGGGGCCCGACATGTGCATCTGCGACCACGGGATGGCCGTGGATCCGGCGACGGGCAGGTGTCCGGAGGTGATGAGAAATTCGAGCGAGCCGCGGTGCCAGCACGGTTGCGGGGCAAACGGCGTGTGCGTGGGCTCCGATCGTTGCGCCTGCAACGAGGGCTTCGCGCTCGACCCGGACACCGGTCGATGCGTCCCCTCCTCGCCGAGCGGGGGGGAACCTTCTGCGAGTTGCCGTGCCTGAACGGCGAGTGCACCGGTTTGAATCGGTGCACGTGCAAGCGTGGCTACGTTATCAGCCCCTCGGACGTGACGAGGACGAGATGCGTGCCAGTGTGCTTCGGCGGATGTCACAATGGCGTCTGCACGGCCCCCAATCTTTGCGTCTGTAACCCCGGCTACACGAAAGAGATCGGAGTCAAGGGGAGGCAAAGATGCGTCCCGGTTTACTGAATATTGATCATAGCGTAATTTCTTTCTCTCCTCTTTCTTTTTTTTTTTTTCTCTATCTTCGTTGTACGACCGCTTGTCTCGGAGCAGAGATACGATGGGAGAGATAAGATGTGCGTGTCGTACGATTGCGAGTAACGTGTGCGCGTTGCGTACAATTGACGTATGTACGTGTAAGGGAAAATTCGAACGTTGATCATCCTTTAATCGTGGGGGTCCTTTCATCTTTGTACTTGTGAACATTTGATTGCGATAAATAAAGAAGGCATATGATTACACGGAAACAGCGCGATATACTTATTTTAAGAGTTTCCCCAATGATTGTTAGGGAAGCGATATCGCTGGACATCCTGTTTTGCCTCTGTCTTCGTCGCAGGACACGATTAAACGCGATGGCACGGCGCCAGTGAACACTGCGAAACGGTTCGACATGCATCTCGAAACGGCATTCCCCCACGTTCTACTTTTTCTCGCCGTTCTTCTCGAATCAACCGCGTTAATTTTCCCAGACGAGAGCCAAGGTATTTGTACCCAAAAGATCAGGTACGTCGCCATATATATATAAATTGATCTATCGAAAAATACGAATCGAACCTCTTCTTCCCGCAGTTACACGAAGACGGAATACGTTCCGTACAAGGAGACGTACAGAGTCAGTAAATGGGGAATTTTCTACGAGACGAAATATCGTTGGAATTATAGGAAGGAGGTAATTCGGTAATTTCCTCCTTCGAGGCGAAAATTGATTCGATTAAATTTTTCTTTCGACGCAGTATTACACCGCCTACCGCGTCCAACGTCGTTGCTGCGACGGATACGCATCGAAGGACGGTGTTTGCGTGCCCGTTTGCACCCCACCTTGCATCAACAGCCAATGCATGCCGAATAATTATTGCGAATGCGACTATGGATACACGAGGGATGAATATGCGAAGAACAAGTGTTTACCGTATTGCTACAATTGCGCCAACGGAAAGTGCATACGGCCGGGCGTATGCGAATGCAATACCGGATATCGAATGAACGAGAACAATGTCTGCGAGCCAATCTGCGCCCAAAACTGCGAGAAGCAACACGCTTATTGCTCCTCGCCCGACATCTGCACCTGCAATGTTGGTTACAAGGCTGTGAATCGTGTACGTATCGCATCGTATGCGAGAACGTATGTTCGTGCAAGCGCACGCTTCGTGATTGAGAAATTGCTATTTAAGGGACGGGACGCAAAAGTAGGGAAATTGAACGAGCTCGTTCGGAGGATTTCGATCAGTCGTGTACAGCGAAGGATGAATTGTCACGCGTTGCTCGATTATCGATAATTAACCACGATACTTGGATCGAACGGCGACGATATTTATTTACGTTTGATTTTTTTAAAATATCCCTTCAATAGATTCCTAAACTCGTACAAGCTTATGAAGCGTGGAATAATATATTATCGAACGGTTAGATTATTTTAAATTATCTGAAATTAGACCGAGTTCGACAATGGTGGCGGTTTTCGAAATGTTCAAAGTTTTCGAGTTTTGTAGGCATGGAATATACGGTAACGAAATTAGTTCGTTATTGAATAATAAAATTATTTCTACTCGTTAAGAAATTGACGAGAAGGAAAATAGTGATAAAAATAGAGATGTTATAAAAAGACGAAAAATAAGAATAGTAGTAGTAGGTGAATGAGAGTATTGGGATTATAAGATTCGCTCTCAATAAAATTAGAAAGACACGAAACGACATTTTATCGCGATACTTGCCCTACGAATCGAACACGCATCTTGATAATAGCATTATTATTAAAAATAGCTCAAAACAACGATATAGACTTTGACATTCGACAAAGTTTCTTTCTTTATATACGTAAAAATACGTATAGTGTTAAAATATAAAAGTTTTACGCGTTAATAATATGAAATCATTTCAAGTTAGCTAAGAAATTCACCGAACGGGAAATCATCCGAAATCATCGATTCGGAAAAAGACCTCGAGTGCAAAGGGTTAACACATTCGTGAGATATCTTTGCCGAAGCGAGAACTCTTCCGACTTGATCGAATTGCACAATCGACAATCAACGGGATATTATTAACACGATCAGTCGATCAAATCTCTTATTCTTAATTTCCAACAGCAATGCAAGCCAGTCTGCTCGTTCAAATGCGTCAACTCGAACTGCACCGCGCCCGATAAGTGTACCTGTCGCGATGGCTACGAGCCGAGCTGGTACAGCAAGTACGAATGCGTGCCGAAGTGCAAGAACGGTTGCCTGCACGGTGTTTGCACGGGGCCGAACGTGTGCACGTGCAACGCGGGATACGAGATGGGCGACGACAACGAGTGCGGCCCGATTTGCAGCCAGCCGTGCACGATGGGCACGTGCGAGGCCCCGGAATTTTGTCGTTGTTACAAGGGTTACAGTTTGAGCCACGACTCTCCGTACAATTGCGAGCCAATCTGCGAGAAGGGTTGCGCGAACGGGACGTGCACGGCGCCCGCCACGTGCACCTGTCACCACGGTTACATACATCACGGCGACCACGCGATGCAACACGTTTGCGTCCCACATTGCGAGGAATCTTGCGAGCCGCACGGGGAATGCACCGCCCCCGATATCTGCACTTGTTACGAGGGTTATCGGCTCGATGACGGGAGCCAGACGAAGGTAAGTATATTTTTAATTCTCTCGCCGACTATAGTCGCTCTGCGGCAAGATGCCGCGTATCGTGTGATACGACGATTCCAGTTATTGCGCATCGAGTATCTTTCTCTGGAAATGTCGTATCGATATTTTGTTTTTATCGCATCAATTTCTTTTCGATAAACACGGTCAAAGCAACGATCTTTCTCGAGCACATTTTTGGTGCGGCGACTCGCTCAGTGGGAGTGTCGAAAGGGTTAATGAGCGAGAAAAATCGAGTACGAAAAGAAGCGATGGGATCGAGAAAGATGGTGGCAATTTTTATTTTTACATTTCGTTTTATTTTCCATCGAATCAAAGTGCAAGCCTATCTGCGAGCAAACTTGCGTGAACGGATACTGCAGTGCACCGGGGGTATGCGAATGCGATCCAGGCTACGAGCATTCCACGAGCAACCGTACCGTGGCCGTCTGCCGACCCGTCTGCGTGAACGAGTGCATAAACGGATATTGCAGTCGCCCCAATACCTGCGAGTGCAACCCGGGCTATCGATTTTCAACGCACACGTCCGATCTCTGCGAGCCTTTCTGCGAGCAGCCTTGCAACAACGGCCACTGCACCAGCCCCAACCGATGCACTTGCAACAGCGGCTACCACCCGAGCCCGAACGACCCCTTTACTTGCGACCCGACCTGCAACCAGGAATGCCACTTCGCAACTTGCACCGCGCCCGACACGTGCACCTGCCATCGTGGATACTCGGCAAGAAACGCGACGGTTTGCGACCCCGTTTGCGAGACAGCCTGCGTGAACGGGTATTGCAGTGCACCGGAGACCTGTGCCTGTAATTTCGGTTACGAATTGTCCGAACACGATCACCACGTGTGTTCGCCAATATGCGAACAGCTATGCAAGAACGGCTACTGCAGCGCGCACGATGGGCACGTGCGAGGCCCCGGAATTTTGTCGTTGTTACAAGGGTTACAGTTTGAGCCACGACTCTCCGTACAATTGCGAGCCAATCTGCGAGAAGGGTTGCGCGAACGGGACGTGCACGGCGCCCGCCACGTGCACCTGTCACCACGGTTACATACATCACGGCGACCACGCGATGCAACACGTTTGCGTCCCACATTGCGAGGAATCTTGCGAGCCGCACGGGGAATGCACCGCCCCCGATATCTGCACTTGTTACGAGGGTTATCGGCTCGATGACGGGAGCCAGACGAAGGTAAGTATATTTTTAATTCTCTCGCCGACTATAGTCGCTCTGCGGCAAGATGCCGCGTATCGTGTGATACGACGATTCCAGTTATTGCGCATCGAGTATCTTTCTCTGGAAATGTCGTATCGATATTTTGTTTTTATCGCATCAATTTCTTTTCGATAAACACGGTCAAAGCAACGATCTTTCTCGAGCACATTTTTGGTGCGGCGACTCGCTCAGTGGGAGTGTCGAAAGGGTTAATGAGCGAGAAAAATCGAGTACGAAAAGAAGCGATGGGATCGAGAAAGATGGTGGCAATTTTTATTTTTACATTTCGTTTTATTTTCCATCGAATCAAAGTGCAAGCCTATCTGCGAGCAAACTTGCGTGAACGGATACTGCAGTGCACCGGGGGTATGCGAATGCGATCCAGGCTACGAGCATTCCACGAGCAACCGTACCGTGGCCGTCTGCCGACCCGTCTGCGTGAACGAGTGCATAAACGGATATTGCAGTCGCCCCAATACCTGCGAGTGCAACCCGGGCTATCGATTTTCAACGCACACGTCCGATCTCTGCGAGCCTTTCTGCGAGCAGCCTTGCAACAACGGCCACTGCACCAGCCCCAACCGATGCACTTGCAACAGCGGCTACCACCCGAGCCCGAACGACCCCTTTACTTGCGACCCGACCTGCAACCAGGAATGCCACTTCGCAACTTGCACCGCGCCCGACACGTGCACCTGCCATCGTGGATACTCGGCAAGAAACGCGACGGTTTGCGACCCCGTTTGCGAGACAGCCTGCGTGAACGGGTATTGCAGTGCACCGGAGACCTGTGCCTGTAATTTCGGTTACGAATTGTCCGAACACGATCACCACGTGTGTTCGCCAATATGCGAACAGCTATGCAAGAACGGCTACTGCAGCGCGCCGAACGAATGCAGTTGCGATCCAGGTTACGGCCCATCCGAGAACAGCACAGATATTTGCGAACCAATTTGTGAACCGAATTGCATCAACGGCTATTGCATTCGTCCGGACGAATGCGAGTGCGATTCGGGTTATCGATCGTTGGAAACTGGTTCGAACATTTGCCAACCTGTTTGCGAACAGCTATGCAAGAACGGCTACTGCAGCGCACCGAACGAATGCAGTTGCGATCCAGGTTACGGTCCATCCGAGAACAGCACAGATATTTGCGAACCGATCTGCGAAGAATCGTGCGGCGAGAACGGGATCTGCGTCGCGCCGAACGCGTGCGAGTGCGCGCAGGGTTACGAGTCGCGTTCAAACGAGACTTCGTTTAACAAAGTTTGCGAGCCCGTGTGCGAGTTCGAGTGCGGGAACGGTAGCTGCGCGGCCCCGAACGAGTGCATCTGCGACGCGGGTTACGCGAAGAGAGACGGGCGAGATCGGTGCGAGCCGTTCTGCGAGTCTTGCGACAATGGGACCTGCACGGGGCCCGAGGTGTGCGAGTGCGAGCAAGGTTTCGTCCCGCTTCGACGAGGGAATGGAACCGTGTGCGAGCCGTATTGCGAGAACTGCTCGAATGGAAGCTGCGTGGCACCTGGCGACTGCGTGTGCAACGCCGGCTACGTGAAACGGGATGACGAGGAGGATGGAGGCTGCGTTGCCGCGTGTCGAAACAATTGCAACGATCGCGGGGTGTGCGAGGAGAGAAGTTGCCGTTGTTTCTACGGCTGGGACGGGGCGCATTGCGAGGAGCCAAGATTTTGCGTGTTGGTGATGGAGAATGGGATGGTCGAACGGTTGAACGTGTAAATATCGAATGTGTTTAAATAAAACGTGCGATTTATTTATTCGGTTTCTTTTCTTTTCAGATGGAACGTAGAGCACGACGTGAACGATACGATTGATTACGTGTTCGCGAACAGTCCATTGTGTCATCACGATTGTTTGAGGAACGAGACGTTGTGCAGTGGAAAGTACAGGAAGAATGGGATGGAGAACGATACGATCGCCTGTCTGATCGGTACAGATCGCGAACGAGTATACAGTATCGATTCGATGTAATGAAATTCTCGATTCACACCCACGATTTTATCCATCTGTTCCCCGTAGATTCTAATTGCGGTCGAGTGTACGCGTTGATCTCGAGTCGTTTAACGACGATAGGTGGGATCGCCACGGGTATCGCTATGGTTGTAGCCAGTAGCGCCATTCTGATCTATTCGCTGGCGCGAAACACGAGGAAGAGGAAATTTTCTCTAGGTAATTGATTAGATTAAACGTAATAGTGAAATAAACGTAGCAATGGAATTGTACGTAAATTTTGCAGATAACACGCCATCGATGCAGATGCAGAATCCGCGAGCCGCTTTGGGAACCGAGGAGTAGAACGGTTGAAAGACGAGTTTATCGCTTGTAATTTATACGTTAAATTATTGTAATCAATAAAAAAGAATTAATAAAAAAGAGGGGAAAAAAGCGTAGCTTAGTTAAATAACACTTGTTACTTCTGGATTCGATCTAATCGGCGAATGCAAATTTTCTTTCGAATAGAATAACGACAACGCTATGATATCGCGAGCATCCTGTCTCGTATCGATAACGCGGAATACAAGCTGGAATGAGACAGATAATTGATATAATATAAACTGGTAAGCGCATCAGTTGCAGTTACTGGATCGCTCGTGCTAAACGACGGATTGAAATTATGAGATGCCTAGGCTGTTTCGTCTTTTTGAACCTCGTCACGACGGCGTTATGTTTGATCGGTGAAGAGGGATCGGTGTGCAACGTGCACGTCAGGTATTTATTTACAACGCTTTACATTGCGAGCAAACGTTGGTTATTTGGGCGAATTACGAGCGATAATTTTTTCAGTCGCATGGAATCGAGATACGTGCCCTACACGGAAACGTACAAGGTCAGATGGGGTTTCTTCTATCAAACGAAGACTCGAACCAATTACAGGATCGATGTAAGAGAGAGAGAGAGAGAGAGGAGATCGCGAACGATCGAGCCCAGAGAAACAGAATGGCGCAAAAGTAACGCAATTTTTATGTTTAAATCAATATATCGAGATCAAAAATTTCCACTCCTTTAAATATATATTTTATTAACCTCGAACGAAATACTTTGCCCGACCGTCGTTACTGGTACGCGCTACACGTACCATTTACTTTTTAACTTTCGTTAAAATCGGGATATTCTCTTCAATATCCTTCTCTCGTATTCAATTCTATTCACAAACAGAATGTTTTCGTTTTCAGATTGCGTTACTTTCCAGTCGTCCCTCGTTGATATTATCATTCACACGAGTTATTCTCGGTTTTCAGCACTTCCCCCTGTGGACGTTTCAGCAGATATGTTGCGACGGTTACGAGGATCGAAGTGGCGTTTGCGTACCGGTGTGCAGCCCCGAATGCGTGAACGGAAAGTGCACGAAACCGAACGTATGCGAGTGCGACGTCGGATACTGGTCTCTGTACACGCAACACGCGTGCGAACCCCTGTGCGCGACCAATTGCACGAATGGCTTCTGCTCGAGACCGAATCGATGCTCGTGCAACGCGGGCTACCAATTGGACGAGGACGAATTACACTGTCTGCCGGTTTGCGCGCAAGATTGCGCCAACAGCAACGCGCACTGCACGGAGCCAAACCGCTGTACCTGCAATTCGGGTTACCGGCAGAGCGGCACCGACGCAGCGGCGTGCACGCCGATCTGCGAAATACCGTGCGTGAACGGGGAATGCATCGAGCCGAACGTTTGCGCGTGCAACCACGGTTACTCGATCGAAGGGGATATCGATCGGTTCGCCTGCAAGCCCAAGTGCGACCGAATTTGCCTGAACGGGAAATGCACGGCGCCGAACGTTTGCACCTGCGACCCGGGCTACAGATTGAACGAGAACGGGGAATGCGAGCCGAATTGTGGCGAACCGTGCGTGATGGGCATTTGTATCGCGCCTGATGTTTGCAGCTGTTACCCTGGATACGGGTTGCCGGATGATTCCAGGTACGTGTGCGAAGCAGTGTGCGAGAAAGGTTGCGCGAACGGGACGTGTACGGCGCCCGACGTGTGCACGTGCCACCACGGTTACAGAGCGACAGGAGACGACACGACGAGGCACGTGTGCGAGCCAGTTTGCGAGCCTCCTTGCGAGCCGAGTGGCCATTGCGCAGCGCCCAACACTTGCGACTGCTTCCAAGGGTATCGGATGATCGATACTAGGGAAAACGAAGTGAGCTTGACTGATCTTTTCTTCTTCTTTTTTTTTTTTTTTAAACCTTGGTTTCCTCGATCGAAGTGAAACCGTTTTTTCGTTCGAATCGAAGGTGCTGGACAACACGACGATCGTCTCGGCCTGTGAACCTGTTTGCGAGCAAAATTGCGTCAACGCCACGTGCACCGAGCCCAATGTTTGCACTTGCGATCACGGGTTCGCCAAGGATGCGAACGATCGGTGCGAGCCCGTGTGCTCGTTTTGTCGCAACGGTTCCTGCGTAGCGCCCAACGTGTGCCAATGTTGGCAAGGTTTCGTCCCGGCGGAGGAGCACGGTTGTGCGCCATATTGCGAGAACGGGTGCGAAAACGGGGAGTGCGTGGCACCGAACGAGTGCACGTGTCACGAGGGTTTCGAGTCGAGTGGAAATAAGAGTAGGTGCGTGGAACGCGTGCCCGTGTGCACGCAGCCTTGCAAGGGGCACAGTGTCTGCGTGGAAGACGAGAAACCGTGCCAATGTTCTTACGGATGGACGGGGTTGGAATGCGACCAGCCCACCCTCTGCATTTTGCTAATGAATTCCGACGATGAAAATCTCGTTGGGTGGGTATATATTTTGTATTTGCTTGGAGCGTGGACTTATGTAAAACAGAAAACATTATTTGCAGAGTCGCGATTCGTAACGAGACGAATAACACGCTGACGGATGCTAAACTTCACGCGCCTCTCTGCTATCCATGTAACAACGGGACAACGAGCAACGAGAGTTACTGTTTCGTCATCGATGATTCGTCGATCGGCTGTTTCGTCGAGACAGGTATCAACGAATCTCTCGATTTATATCAAAGATTCGATATCGATACGTTCATTAATATTTTCGATTCTCTTCCATTCCAGTAGACTCTTCTTGCTATGGTGGCAAAACGGATGCGGCAAAGTTCAAGATGCAGGCAGGAATGTTAGGAGCGGTCGTAGTTTTAATATTGGCGATCGTGACGATAGCGTGTTTCACGATTTATAGGCATCGAAGAGAAAAGATACGTTCAGGTATAATTATGGCAGAATCCGTACGTGGCGCGATACTCGTGGGAAAATTTGTACGATAAGATGCGTGGCGGAGGAGCGGAACTCGGGGTGAGATAAACGGCGTCGCCACATTTCCGTTTTTCGTTGTCGCGAACTGGAAGAATCGAACGATATATCTCTCGTTTAATTTTTTTTTTTTTTACGTAGTTTGTGCAATCGATAATGAATCACGGCCGTCATTCGTGATTTTCTGCGAAACAGATTATAACAATTTTTTCTTCTTTTCAGCCATCGCGCAGAATGTATTACAAGAGGGAATGGCGAACGAGTATTTGATTTCGGAACGAGACGATCATTCTGCGTCCAGTATTGATTTCTACGAACGATAAATTAGAATGAAATATATTTCTATCCGCATTTCGGAACGAGACTTTTCTTCTTTTCGATTGAATTTTCGAATGAATAATGCGCACATGATTAACACGATTCGCTGTCACATTCGTATGTATATATATATATATATCGTGTCAAACTTTTACGACGAGTATTGTAATATTATTAACTTTATATAAAATTTATTTCGTATTTACCAAAGATATTTTTATTTTTTTATATCATGTAAAATTAATAAAATCGACGAGTTCCTGTTTAAATGGAAATGATAGAACCAGTATTATTTATATTCCATCAACCAGTAGCACTATTTTACAGAAACATCGAACGAAGCCAAATGACTTCCTGTCACTGCACCTTCTTTCGTACTCACCAATAACCCGAGTAAATTTCGATCAAAAGTCATATAAGCTCGAGCTTATTTATCGAGCTACTACATAAAACTAGACCGCGGATTGTACAATTTTATACAAAATTATATCATTATCGAACGGAGCGAAGCTTAAATAAAAAATTACTTTACACTTCAAATATAATTCAAATATCTACGATATAAATTTAATCCAACCTTAAACTTCGATTTCGAACTCGTAACTCAAACAAACTGCTTTAACACTATATTTTCACAAAGATATCATCGAACGTTAACACACCCCCTCCCACCCGTATCCTTCGATCCAAACCCTTCGATCCTACGAGTTTTCTCCGTAACGAAAACTCTGGCCGAAAAGCACAACGCGCGACGACCGAGGCGAGGAGGGTGCGCGCGATCGTAAAATTGGGATTCGAAAGGTAGGCGGTTGGAAAGGTAAGAAACCAATAATACCTCAACCCCCTGACCGGAGATTGGGCGATGGCGGAGCAGCTCTGATCTCGATCGACGCGGCGCGGCAGGAAGGGGTGGACGGGCGGCATCGCGCAGCTGCAGCGGTGGCGGTGGCCGACCGGCTGGAGGCGGAAGGAAGGCGTCAGTGAACGGGGGAGCACGGAACCGAGAGAACGCGTGCCCTCCACGGTGGAAGAAGACGCAATCGTCGCGTTGGTGCGCGTGTGTGTGCGTGGTGTATGTGTGTGTGCGTTTGCGTGCCGGGGGACGACTCGCCTCGAGTTCGCGCGCAAAAGGAGAAAAGGGGAGGAAGAGAATCGTGGTAATCGTCGAAAGGGGAGTCGAGGGGAGATCGTGGCCGTTCGATCGTGGTGTTGTTGTTGTTGTTGTTGTCGTCGTCGTCGTCGTCGTCGTTGTTGCTCTTTTCCTCTTCTTTTTTTTTCTCCTCCCCCTCCCCCTTGTTACACGAGAAGGTCGAACGCGATAATACAATAAGGCGGTCGTCAGAGGCGTCGAGGGCGAGAGGGCGTGCAGGAGGGCGGGAGGGGGGAGGGCAGGCGACAGGGAAGGATGTCGATGCGCCGCCGGTGGTCGGTTCGGGGGTTGACTCGCGCCGCGGGGGCGATGAGCGCACTTCCCTCCGCCCTGAGACTGACCTGCTGCCGTTCCTGGCTCCTGCTCATCTGCCTGCTCAGCCTGGTGTCCGGCTGCACCTGCCGCGGCACGCGACCGGATCGCCTGACCCGCGAATTACCGGCAGATGATGACGTGCGCGTATCCAGCTACGACGACGACGACGTCGACGAAGACTATCAGGACAACGTCACTGGTGAGTGTCCGCACCTGTTTCTCGCCGACCACCGATGGATACTCTCCCCGCATTCTTCTCCGCCATCCCATTCTCCGCCCATTTTCGGATATATGGGAGATATCGTATCGTTGAATCGTTTTCCTCGATTCGAGAGAGGCTCGCCTAGTGATGAGACGAGTCGTTGTCGTGGTGGGACAGGATCGGGATTTTCTAGTGATACGAATAATCGTTTCGTCGAGTCGAGTCGGGTGAGAAGTGGTGAGAACAGCGGGGCGAGAGTAGAAGTGGAAAGGAAGGAAGGGAGAAAGAAAGAGGTGTATATTTGAGAAATTTTCGGGGATCGACTCGTGTATATATATATATTTGCAGAAGGTAGAGAAATATTAGCGTTGCGATTACGTCCTCCTCGTCGCGTCTCTCTTTCGTGCGAAAGCGTCTGATTCGTGTTTGAATCGATACGCTGAACCCCCATTGAAGGATCGATTACGTTATTTTCTCGCGAAACAAGGACGATCGAAGAAACGCGTGAGATTCTCGCTCGCCTCGCCTTCTCCGCGCCTGCTCGATACGGATGTGCAAACACTTCTTGCTCCAGAACCTTCAACCAGCAGGGCAAACACTTGTTACTGTCATTGTTATCGTCATATAGACGTTCTCTCTTCGTCAGATGATAAGTAGCCCTCGTCAGGCCTCATTAAGTCCAACGAGGAGGCCGAGGTAAATGTTACGAAACGCTGCAAAGTTCACCACCACCACCACCACCACCACCACCACTCTTCTCAACCCTTCTCAAACCTAGCTATCAAAGCAACGAATCTTCTTACGTAACGAACAATTTTCTAAGGTCGTTAAGAACGATTCGATCCATTTCCCCGAATAGATCTAATAAATCTCATCGTGATCCCCGACGATGTATCGTTCGTAGAACGAGATCGGATTCGAAGAAGGCGAGAAAAGGCGAGAAGATATTGCACGTCCAGATTCGCGAGTGCGCCTGCGTCTAGGTAAACAGGAGAGGAACTCCTTTCCTTCTTGATTTTCGCGCCAACCACGCTGCCGGTATTGATTTTAATGGATGCTGCAAACTCTCTCTCTCTCTCTCTCTCCTCCGTGTGT